AATGACAGATGGAGAGAGAGGGAGGATTGCGAAGGAGAGAGAAGAGAAAAGAGGTGGGCAGGGCGGGATGGTGCGGGGTAAAAGGGGAGGCACGGCCGATGCGGCCACAGGCATAAAGCTCCCCACCAACTCGGCTTTGCTTCTCTTTTCTCCTTTGCTCTCTCCTCTCCCTCCCCCCTCTCTCTTTCTCTCTCTCTGCGTACGCACTATTTTTTAGTCCGCACTTATTACGACAGATGTCTCATGCTCCGATAAAGAATAACGGCGGCCGGCGGGCTCCGCTTCCCCCCGCGTGCTAGTCCTAACCAGGCTCGGGAGCTGCAACCCGTACTCTCGGTGCTTCTCGGTTCGTGGTGTCGCCGTGACACGACACGAAACGAAACGAAACGAAACGATACGACACCGTACGTTACGTTACTAGCACCTACTTACTCCAATCAAGCTTACGCACCTACACACACGCGTTCACGTTTTTTTTTCCCCTTTTTTTCTCCACCCTCGCCACGAGGGCTCCACCTCCCTCTCCGTGGAACGCACTTGCGGAACGTGTTGCGTCGCCGTGACAGTGACTTTGTTCCTCGACGTGTCAACGGCTGGTTTGTCTCTGGTACGCGATCGAGCCCACGCGCGATACTCTGGCTCCGGTAGTGGTGGTGGTTATAGTGGTGGCGGTGGCGGTGGTGGCGGTGGTGGTGGTGTCGTCTCTCAGTGAAAAGTAGCGGTGAGAGAGCCTTCGCATTCCGGAGTGGAGCGCGCGACAATTTGCGTCACGGTGGCTGCTTGCATCCCGAACAGAGAGAAACACGTGGCTAGGTGGGTCGTGCGTGCGAGAGACCGGTTTGAAATTCCCGCGTGTTCCCGCGAATCCCTGCCTGTTGACCGCGCGTTGCCTGCCCGCCCCGGTGCGCTGTTTTCGTATTTCGCGGGAACACTAACACCGCGACCGTGAATAAACGAACAGAGGGGAAGGATGACGAATTAAAACACGCGAAAGCTCTTCTCTTCGCTCTCTCTCTCTCTCTCTCTCTCTCTCTCTCTCTCTATTCTTTCTCGCTTTCCCTTTCAATCTTTTTTCTCTCCCACTCTCTTTACTTCTTTGCTTCTGTGTCGACGACAACGAGGAGGAGCGGACCGTATGCCGCTTGGGCGTTGTATCGTCGACCAGAGTCTCAAACTTCTCCCCTCGTGTCTCGGATGCCTCAAGGCCTATCCTCTCGCGGCAACCCTCTTCTCTCCTCTCGTCTTCGTTCAGATCGAACGCGAGAACGAGCGCGCGCGCACAATCGTGTATGCGTGCGAGTTTCGCGACGCGTACGAGCGAGACGCGAATAGCGAAAAAGAGTATAAAGAGTGTGTGGCTGGTTTTTAGGCAACGCGCGCGACCACAACTGTCGTTGCTCATTCCGTTCCGTTGGTTGGTCGGTTTCGCCGCAAGATAACAGACTCGCGAACGCATGTACCCAACGAATCGCGTATGTAGTTGTTTCTCGTCTACTATTCGAATGGTAGGTTGCGAGGGAACGCGCGTAAAAGCGGCGCCGCCTGCGCTCGAAGGATGCGCTTCTGAATCGCGCGAACGAGGGAGCAGAAGGAACGGTACGCGCACGTGAGCAGTGTCCGACACGACAAGTGCCGCAAGGTAAACCACCCCCGTGATCTTCCGCTTCGGAGCAGAACGTTTCCTTCGTCGCAAGGGTGCAGATCCATCTTCGTATCCTTCTACGTTTCTTTGAAAAATCTGCTTGTTCATCTCCATCCTGCCGCTCTCTTTTTTCCTCCCGCATCTTCCTTCCTCTCGACCCGTGTCACTGTCCGCGTCCGTCCGTCGCCTGTGTCTGTGTCTACTACTCCAGCTCCGTCGGTGTGTATACGTGTCTTTGTCGGTGTCTTTCTCCGTCAGACGGTGGCTCTTTCTCGTTCCTGTCGGTCGCGTTCTCGTTCGTCGTACCGGCGATCGCCGGCTTTTCGTACGTTTTCGTGCGGCCTCGCTGCCGCGCCGCGACGACGTACGCCCGCGTCGACGGAGGCACACAGCTGCACAGTCGTGACGTGACGTTTCGGGGGTTAGTTCGCACGGTATGTGACGGAGAAAAGAGGCCACCGGTGGACACTGCTGCTCCAACGTGCTCCTTCGAGGATCGTCGTGTGCGTTTCCGGTTTTCGAATACCTCGTGTTTCTCTCCTTCTCCCTTAAACGCGATTCACCTCGTTCGTTACTTCTTCTCTCTCTCTCTATCTGTATCTCTTACTCCTTTGGTGCCGCGTGACATGTGATCCTTCGCGATTCTCTCTCTTGATCGACGTCGACGAATTGCCAGCCTGTGTTCCTACGGAAAAGCGGGAAACCAACGACGCACTTATCACCCTTTCCCTCTGTCGTCTCGGTGTACGCGTCGAACCACACGTGAAACCGCACGCGGTTGCTCCGTTTTCCCTACTTTCTTCTTCTTTTTCTTTCCTCTTTCCTTCCTTCCTTTCTCCCTTTGATCCTTCATTTCCTTCCTGCATTCTTGACCGATGAAATTGCACGTTCCCCGGACCATTCGCCGCGCGACCGTCTTGTCAACGTGACCGTATTTCATTCGGCACGTTCCGATCGATCGATATACGATCCGAGCACAGATTTGTGGAAGATCGAACGGGACAGGAAGGACCGACGCGACGTCTCGATCCGGATCGGTCCGTCGAGAATGACTTTCCGGCACGAAGCAGCACTACTGGCCGAGTGTAGGGGACTTTTTCGCCAACTTGTGAAGTGCGCACTTTTTTGCGAGGTGGCGTTGTGCAGATAAAACGCAGAGCGTTTCAATTCGGTTCATTGTTTCGGTCATTAGCTTACGCGGCATGACGAGTGATAGGTGTGCTTTCACGATAACGCATCTACTTTCTTCGAACTGTGATTCCTTTCTGGATAGTGTTGTGAATGTGCCTTAGAGATACGAAAACCTTAAGAGCCGTGTTTAGCCGCGATCGCCGAGAAACAGGTACCGTATAACGAGACCGATCTCTTCTTACTCTCTTTCGATCGTTGCCGATCTCCTGTGTTCTTCCACCAGGCGAGTTTCATAGTGACATATTTTTTTGGGTTTTTTCTCGTAACTTTTTGCCTATTTTCGCGAATCATTCTATTCGAAATCCAAGGAAGAAAAGTAATCCAAGAAAGAGAAAGAGTAACGATGCACTTTTTTTCGGCTGTCGCGTCACTCGGAAGAAATATATTTAGCAGCGAGTATGGTAAATAACTTTCTTTCTTCGTTGTCCTCTAGATCGTCGACAGAGTTTCTATTATCAAAGCGTTGCTCAGGATTTTCATGAGACTGTGAAACTTATCTCGAATTCGTCACACATAAATTTAGAAGTACGCGATAGCGAATTTAAAAAGTCTGAAAACAGTTTCCGAATCGCAACCCGGTTTATGATAAACGATCGTGGAAAAAACTTTTTTTTTCATTTCCCCTTCTCCCGCGCTCTGATAATGGACCTATGTACGTATCCAAAATATTGCTAGCAAGTATGTATGTACATATGTGCTATGGGCATTGGTTGCGTCTGCTCTCTTGGCCCCTGACCGTACTTACTTTAATAACTATTTCTTCGAAGCGACAAGTTGACCAACGCAAAAATACCTAACGAATCAGCGATACGATATCAACGGAAACCTTATAAAATAGTAGACGGGGTATCCGTGCTGTCTTTTATCGTTAATAACGCGTTATAGAATATTAAAGGAAACAAAAACAAGAAGAAAAATGTAAAAAGAAACAATAATCGGCGATCATTAATTCCATTCTATATCGAAGCTTTTGTCATGACACACACCACTACAAAACGACGCTAGCAACGAGCACTGTAAATTTGTTTTAAGATCTTTCCTTTTTTTTTATCATTTCGCTAAGATAACACTATCAGCATACATTTAATGCTTGCGCTTTTATAAGTGGCTGAGAGAATTATTTAATCGTATGTTCTGGCTTCGCTCCAGCCTGCCGACCTAATTTTTTTCTTCTTGTATGGTGCAAATAAAAAGTAGTGTAATCCATCGCTTCACTTCTATTTTTACGCCATCATGCACTCTTTCGATTCGTATTCTTCGTCTACGCTCGACGTCGTTCGGTTCGACATTTCTTCTCTTTTCTTTTTTCTAATTCGCATCCATATTTCGTTAGTGTAACCAGCGCGTCGAATCGCGGCTTACACCGCGAGATTCGCAAACTTCTCGTACAGATCGTTTCAAATTTTTATACGTGGACGCGTTCGTGTATCACGAATTTCCGTGCAAAAATAGAGCAAAATCTCGATCAAGTGTTGTTCCATAATATCCGCACTAGCGAAAAGGGGACCGCGCTTTTTCTATTCGTGTTTTTATATTCCGCCGGAACGAACGATATATGTTCCGTTGTACGACACCTTTGGTCCACCACTCTAACCCTTTCCTCTCGGCTAAGCGAATCGCCACCGCATTAATTCGCGAGTTACATAAGTTTTCGTGACTCTCCGAGAGTGTAAAGAAAATTAACATCTGTTCTAATGCCACACCTACGGTAAACATGCTGGTTAAATACCGTGCGATGCCGAAATATTATATAATCCATGATCCTCGTTTATCGAACGTACAAATTTTCGCGTTTCCCCCCCCCCCCCCCCCCCCCCCTTTTTTTTTAGTTTGTACTTTTTATTTCATCTCTAACGCGGAAAGGTCGAGGTCACCGATGCTCGGTCACGCTGCATGTGTGTTGCAACAGTGTTTTCCTCTTTTTTTTTATTTCAAATCGACGGCTATCGACGTTTATCGGTGTTTCAGATTTTATCAGAGGGCTTATCGGGACTAGAAAGTTTTAAGAGACCGGTAGATTTCGATTCCTGTCGAACAAGCCGATCCTAGAACCGTCCGTTAATGCGTTCCTTGATTCATTCGCCGGGCGAAACATAACAGTTTTATTCGACGATAAGATAAGCTCGGCTGGGTTTAAATAGCGTACATTATTTCTCTCTGATTATAGGTGAATAAACATAACGATGGTAGATACGCAACACTTTTGTCTGCGATGGAATAATTACCAAAGCAGTATAACGTCTGCGTTCGAAAACTTGAGGGATGATGAGGATTTCGTGGACGTCACACTGGCCTGCGATGGCAAAAGCCTCAAAGCGCATCGCGTCGTACTTTCCGCTTGCAGTCCCTACTTTAGAGAATTGCTCAAGGTAAGATAAACCCCTTTCGTTTCCATCGCCCTCTGTTTTATTATCCCGAGTTTCTTTTATTTTTCCTCTGGTCCGTTCTTTTCTCTCCGTTTCTTCCCTTCTTCCATCGCTCCGTATAGGTGTACCCTCGTTTCAACCCCCTTATCGTTTTCGACTCGATCTATCGAGTGCAACGTCAATGTTTAACTAATGCGAGAAAATGTCTCTTTTTTTTCTTCCCTGCATCCCCTTTTGCAGAGCACACCGTGTAAACACCCGGTGATAGTACTTCAGGATGTAGCGTTCAGTGACTTGCACGCGTTGGTGGAGTTCATCTATCACGGGGAAGTGAACGTGCACCAACGTTCCCTTAGCAGTTTTTTGAAGACCGCCGAAGTCCTCAGGGTATCAGGGCTTACGCAACAGACGGACCAAACAGACAGGGACGAGGTAAGAGAGCATTCCAGTCTCCTCCTCTTTACTCCTACTCCTTCTCTTCCTCTTCGTTCATAGTTCCTCGAATACACCATAATATCAGCCATCCGTGTAATATCGAGGCCCGTACCTCGTAAATTGATTATGCTTTGCATGTTATCTCTGCGATAGAGACGCGACTTTTAACTAAAGAGCGCCTTATCTCGCTGCACAATGTGTATCCATCTTGATTCCAATCCATAATTGTCATAGGTCAAGCAAACAAAGATAACCGGCTGTTCGTTACAAATAGAAAGCGAGCAATCGTAATCGTGTTCCCGGGAGCATGCGCGTATGTAAAGAAATTGTCGTATATTGAATTATTTTCTTGCAAGAGACGCTTTCTTTCATCCGAAAGCGGACGAAATTTCCATCTACCATCGCTTCTTCCCTCTTCTTTTTCGTTCTGTTTCCAGCTGTCCCATGTCCGCGCGTTAGCTGCCGGTGGTAATCATCTTCCCTTCCACGAGAAATTGGAAGAGAGCTTTCCACGGGGTGGTTCGCCACCCACGCCGGTTACCTCGACGCCAACCACCGTGCAACAACTTCTACGCAGAGCACAGATACGCAGGAACGAGAGACGAACGCCGGATCCTCACGATGAATCGGCGAAGAAGCCGAGGGTGCCGTCGCCGCCGCTGAACAACAACGACGCGACGCCCACGGATTTCTCGATGGTGAAGAATAATCATCTGTCGAGCAAGGTCGAGGGTAACGGTGTACACGAAGAGAACAGCCCCCTCGAAGACAACATCAAGTGTGAGCCACTGGAGCTGACCGGTGGTAACAGCGGTAACGGTGGTAACAACGAGGACTCGTCCGACTCTGGAGCAGCGGCGTCGGATCGACCACCGGCCTCTGCCAGCAGTAACGAGCACGAGGTCGAATCCGAGCACACACCCTCCTCGAATTTTCTGTCAGAAACGAAAATTTTCCCGCCCACGCCTGGAGGCTTTAATTTCAGTATGGCAGCGCTCGCTCCTGAGCACACGCCATTGTCAGGTACGTAAGCAGATTGCGTTTCCCTTGGGCCTGTACGCATTGACCAATTTTATTTGTCATCTGCGTTTTCCATATCATTTCATTATTCTTTTTTTTAATTTTTTTTTCCATTCATTCAACTTTTGTTTCGATTCATTTCATTTCATTTCATTTCATTTCATTTCATTCCAAACATTCATCACTCTTTTTTTTTTATTTGTTATCCATTTTCGTTTTCATTCGTTCCTCACGTTTCACGATCGCAGACGATTCTTTCGTTGGAGTAATTGCGATGCTGCGTACAGGCCGTTGTTTGATCTCTAACACCGAAAGAATGTTCGTTGCTACGTGTGACGATAGTGAAATTTCCAGGATTGGGCCACGGGTTTCAATCGCCGGACTTGGCAGGAACTTCGCAAGGTAAGAACGTTTTACTATTAGCTCTGTCCTGAAAAATCATTAGAATCATGCCACCGGAGAACGCTCTGGACCGAGAGAAAGAGCTTTTCCCCCCTTGCTGCAATTATCCTGTCCCTGTGTGTCGATCGTTGTGTAAATCACATCCGAGTAGATTCTCTCGTGGCATTGATTTCTTTTGATTTTCCGTTGGGCATTTTCTCTATGCTGTTCCATTTATTTTCCACCGACAGTCGATACATCGTGGCCGCAATTGTCTGCGGTGTAGCGGTTCACTCTAATAAAAAAAGTAACTAAAAAAAGACTTGTGCAGTTATATCAAACACTAACAAAATCACGAATTACAAGAATGAATTTTATATATATATATACATTATACATATATAAATATGTATATTATTTATTTGGTTGCGGTGAAAGAGCACTACTGTCTGCTTGGACGATTAAAACTTCTTCTAATTGGCATGCGTTACAAAAATCATTGATATCATCATTCCTTATACGGTACATACTTACGAATCGCCTTGCATTTGCATTTCATGATGTCATAACTTCACTTATATTTTTTTTCTTTCTCTCGCCCGCGCGATTATCAACGAATTCGCGCGACGTTAGAAGGAATTTATCTGCTGACCTATCCGTTTCGTGTGTCGCTATCGGTTTGGTTCCCCTTCGCTCTCTTCCTCAAACTTCGTGGTACCCGTTGAGCACCAGATAAATCTGGCCGGACTTTTACAGACGTAACACTATTTATCATATTTCGGCATATAACGACAACAAATCTGTTTAAATTGTTTACGACGTTTGCTCTTTGTACCTCTCGTAAAACGAAACGAAAACACGTACACGATCGATACGATTCATAGACAATCGCGAACGAGAAGAGGATCTTCTTCTTCTTCTTCTTCTTTTTCCTTCCCTTATGAAACAGCAAGCAGCAGATACATTCGCTCGAGTCAAGTCGTCGAATTCGCTGCGATCATTTTAATTGGCACCAAATTCCGATGAACAAAAAAAAATATACCATCATTGTTTGGCATCACTGTACAAAGTATCCGCCGCAATCGCTACCATATATAATGTCTAATGAAAAGCATAAGTAAACAACCATAAAAAAAAAGAAATGCAACGAAATATATCCCTGTCCCCTCTTAAATGAAAAAAAAAAAAAGAATAAAAAATGATAAGCACAGAAGAAGTTGAGACGATTAACGATGCAGCGACAGACTGTTCTCTTTGTATAACGAGTAGTAAAAGTAGATACTATCCGATACTATCATACGAAAATGCTTTTTTTTTTTCGAGTATCGTGAGTTTTCGCGTCAAGCGTCGTTTATCGATGACTGATGATCGTTCGCATTATTATTTATTATACACGTGCCGTGCTCGTATTGTCCAATTCGTCGTCAAGTTTTGTATCAGTGTTGTCCCATTATTATGAACGTTTGGTAACGGAATACAAGCCGCTACCGCGATATCGCCGATACGACAGCATTATGACATTGCTTACAATATTATTATTATTATTATATATTTGCAAATATTATGTACATATATTTATATCTTTTTTCTGTATACATGTATACATACGTATTTTGGTTACATATTTTTATCTATATCTATATATATATATATCATATTTATATATTATACACGTTTCTTTTTATTATATGTATTTTACAGACGTTATCGTACGTACTAATCCGAAAGTTTACAGTTACACCCGTAATTGTACGTAATTATAATTGTGAAACGCTTCGTCAGGAGAGAACACTTTGCAGCTTGCTGCTCGTTTCCAATTACGAAAGAGGATGTGATAGGTCGACCAAGTTTGTCACACTCTTTTATATTATTCGAGCGACATTTGACCCCGACGTGCGTACCATATGGTCGCGTTATTGTACATCTTTCGACTTATTGGCGATCTCTATTTTCTGTTTTTTTCTTCCCCGTTTGAATTTGCATCGACCGAAGAAATTTGCCCAATCTATCGTAGCTCACGACGCGGTCTACGCGTTAGGGTGTCGTTCTCCAGGGTTGGGGGTTAAACGTTAGACACAGTTAATAATGATAAACGTGCGAATTTTATCGGGAAAGGGCCAGGTGTCCTCGTTTCCATAGTAAGAGGAAATATCCTGATGATAGACCGAGTGAAAAAAAAAAAAAAAAAATAGCTTTTTGCTTCTTTTTCTCTTTCTTCGTTATTCGCGAGACAAATTAAGAATAATTTTCACGGCATTACGACATTGCCGTGTCTCTGTATCTAGGAAAGTTTCGTCAAGAAATTGGATAGATTGTTCTGCGCGCCTTGAGGCGATCGCGTTCGCAAGGAGAAGAAACGGGAAGGAGGAGGTTTTTAATAAATGCATTCTGACAGCGTGTCATTAAGTAAATTCAGGTGTGGCCTCTCGCCGCCTTCTCGATTAATATTTGAACGACTGGCTTATACTAGGTTAGTACTGAAAAAGTTATCAGGGGCCGTCGATAAGGCCGCAGATGTTATCCGCGAAATTCAAGGTCCCTCTATCTCCGACGGACGTGGCGAACTAAACATTGGCCTAACTAAAAATACGACGACCTTGGTACGCCACTCACGTTCTTTCGGCGAACAGCGAATCATTAGACACATTAAATTATACGTGGCTGGTTTCGCGAGGTTGACTTTGACCCGTAGTCTTAACCCGTTCGATCCTCTCGCGACCTTTTCTCTCTTCTTTTTTCCAAAAATCATCTCTATCTCGCTCTTTCACTCTCTTTATCTGTCAGTTTTCTCTGTTCAGCAGACAACAAAACGCAGCGAACGAGCGTAGAGGTCGTTGCGGTATTTCGATGCAAAAATAGACGGGTTGTTTGGACGATTCGTTAAAAACGATATCCCGCGTCATTCTTTTTCCCGTTTCGCAAAAATTTCACTCTTTTCAAATTGAAATTCTAAAATGCAGGCATCTCTAATCGGTCACTCGCAGCGATTTCTACGTTCAAGTTTGTTTTTTCTTTTCTTTTTTTTTCGTAATTTTATCTCGCTAAGGCTGAGATCACGGCCGCGTTGTATGCATTCGAATCTTAGTACAGTTTCTGTACCGACAGACATATTTTTCAGATCGAATCGAGCCAGTTGCAGCTCCGTGATTTTGGCAACGTTTCAGCCGAATGAACGCGCGAGATAGTTGCAGGGTCGTCGGTCCCGCGAAACTTTCCACCTACTCCGTGTTCGTTAACGACAATAACGTCGAACGATCATTCTCTTTCTCTCTTACGTACACACAGACATACATACTAGGTTTGTGTTAAAATTAAATGCTGACAGCGGCTTCGATTTTCAATGTGACTCCAATCTGCCGTATTCCGCGATGCTTGTTTCTCGACCAGATAAACGATCTCGAACGATAAAAGTAATAGTGATAGTGGTAATAGTAGTAGTAGCAGTAGAAACGGCGATACTTATCAGACGTAATCGAAAGAAAGGAGCAAGGGTCTAGAAGTTTCGTAGATCAATTTTGGAAAGACCGTTATCGGGCCGGCAACGAGCGATAAAGTGAAATTTTATTCGCGTCAGTGAATCGCGTGTTTCGGTCCACCGTTTTAATCGTCTTCAATTCGTAATGGTCTGGTTACGTAAAAAACAATCGTGTGCCAGATAGAAAGTACAACGTACGACCACTTGTCGCGCGATCAGCCTTAGAACAGCGCGCGTGAGCAAGCTTCTTTGTTCCTCTGACACTTTTGCTCGCTTCGTTTAACGTCTTTTTATTCCAACAGCCAGGCGGCTGCGAGCATATGGCAAAAGAGTGTGTCTGTTGCCCGTGTATGTTTTCTAGCCATCATTCGTTTTGCTCGACGAAAAATCTGCTCTTCGTTTTTCAACCTTCCTACTTTCTTTCTTCGTTTCTTTCTGGCCACCTCGGGTTGGAGGTGTGTTTTCGAGCCGGTAATCGATGGTATTCGTTGCTCCGTTATGCACAATTTTTATAGATCAGCGAGAGGAAATCGCTCGAAACAATGGAAATTATACGATCGAGCCAGTTAACCTTTCGCACTCGGACTACGTTTGTTGTTTTCGTCTCTTCTCTTTCCCGAAACGTCGTCAATTTCGTACGGAACATTTGAAATTAAAATAAAATTGTACGGCAGACTTTCGCGCGCGGCCCCACGATCGACGATCATCGACCACGGCATATTTTACGCGTATTTCTTTCGCAGCCAGCGAGGTCGCGTTTATTGAGCGCGGCCAAGAGCAGTTTTGCATAGAGCAGCCGACACGCTCCGCAGAAAGATGCGTTTATCGCGGTCTAATTTTAAATCTATTCATTCTGCTCTTTTCTCTCTCCGCGCCTCTATGTCCGCGTTTCTCGTTGGTTTCGATGTCATTATCGCAAAGAGAGGAGAAATTCTTTCCCCGGGCCTAGATATTCTTAGCTTGTATCCCGCTGAGCACTAAAATTGTTTAAATAGAGCCCGATTCGATGCGTCGCTAGTAACGGCACCCGCCACCATCCCGTTCCTTCCCTTTTCTTCGACCTTCTCCTCTCTTTTCCGCTATTTCCCTTTATTTTCCTTTATTTTCTCTTGTTCGTTTTTTCTGCTCTTTTCCGCGAACGCCTGCGAACCGCGCGGTAACCTGTTGTAAAAGTCAGCCAGGCTGCATAAAAATAGCGGGTGCCGGGCTCTGGAGTCGAGGATCACTTTATCCTCTTTCTCCGTCTCTTTGTATCAGAAGAGGGCGCGTTGCAGCGCATCGAGCAAATATTTATTTCACGGGACGTTCCTGGTACCGGACATGTTCCGCACGCTCGACCTATTCTACTAGTTTTCCTTTGACTTCGCAACAATCGAGCAAATTCCTCGAATCTGTGGCTATCTCTACGCCACGTCTCTTGTTTCCCCATCGTGCGATCCACCTTCAGGACTTTCCACGCCATTTTCTTCATACATTTCCGCGAAAACGAGCCTTACGAAGGGAGGAAAGGATCGGTAACAGCCGTATCGTTCGATACGCTGGACAA